CTAGTCTGATGAGAGGTCGACCGTCGATGCCGATGTGTTCAGGGTGGGTGCAGGGACGGTGATATGCGCGCAGTCTATGACACTAATTCAGGCGAATATTTGCATCCCAGGTGTGTGTATAGGTAGAGAAGAAGAAGACACGTCGATAACCGCAATCATGGTTATATTCATCTGAGGTTTCGAGCTCTTACTGAAGCCCAGCGTCAGAAATAAGAACCTCAACGAAAAAAGCAACATTTATAGGCGACAGGAGCCAATCGATCACCAGTGGCGTCAGTTCGGAGATGCCTGCGCAGGGTGATGTATGTCGGCGCCAGATAGATAAATCGATTGACTGAGTTCTCATCTGAGGCCCAGGCTTCAATCAATTCTCGGCCTGTCTTGCTGTCTGCGTGGGTGAGTGTATCTTCGCGGCTGCGACGCTCAACTCGTGATCCGTCTCGTAGATGTGGGCAGTTGCTTGTGATAATGCGTCACCCCGTCTCGCAGCCAGCTTATGTTCGTGAACGCAAGAACCAAGCATGCGTCCTGTCTGTCCTGTGTAATTTCGAGAACAGCTTAGGCATGGTATGGGATACACTATACCCATCTGCTCATTGGCGATGGACTCCAGTAAGAGTTAGAAAACTCGATATGTCTTTTTTTCTTCTTCTTATTTATCTACGGCACTCTCTGCCTCCTCCCTCCTTATCCAAGCAAGGAACTCCTGAACATTTTGATTTTTTTTTCTTGATCTTTCATACGGCAGCTGACACTGTAAGCCAAAATCACAATCTTTTGAGGGAATGCATTTGAACTCCGAAAGAGTGACGCCATTGAGTCGCTAGGGTCGGAGCATGTGGCATTTACTGGCAGAGTGTTGACTCAGTCAACAACAGAAGCAAAGCCGGAACTCGGGGTCTTCTCGAATAAGGGCTGAAGTTCGGTAGCAACAGCAGGAGGGTGAATGTGTAAATAGCAATCTCATTTTCTCTATTTGGAAAGAATTTGTAAGAATTAGCAGTGATTATATAACTGAATAGAATAAAATGTCATGATTCAAATTAAGGAAACCTAGCTGAAATACAACAAGAAGCGGACAGGAGACTCAAGACACAGAAACATTATCAATCTCCTAAAACCCTATTTAAAGTGTGCCCATCGTAAATTGGGCTGCGTAGGTATAAGTCGAGGGCATACCGGCGGGAGTGTCGCTGTCCCGTCGAAACGAGAAACGGTATTAAATCAAATAGAGGAAATATTGTGGAGACATATTTTCTAGTGATATATCTGCCACTGTTGAATGCATCATAATATGGCCAGCGTGGTTGCTAGTCTAAAGCCCAGACATTCATTTCGCTAATGTTCTGCAGCTGTATGACGCAGCCGCGAGAGTATCGAGTTAAGATGGTCGATAAATCAGAAGCTAGGAAGACAATGGATTGGATATAGTTTTACCGAGGCGCTGCATGATATGCGCAACAAACGAAAATCCACGTTCCTTCCCAAGGAAAGTGGGATTCTGCAAAGGTCTACCGTATCTCCTTACACCTTCTTCCTCCACACTGACGACCTACGATCCTCAACTGAATGTTTGTATGTAAAATATGCCGATGATATGGTTGTTGGTCATCCAGAAGTCAGTCCAATATTTTTTCTGATTGCGATCCCCTCTCACTCCGGAATCCTTAGACATCCTGCGCAATGAGGTATCCTCTTTCCTGTACTTCAGTCTTACGCTGACATCTTATCTTTCATTTTCTCTTGAAAGTGGAATTCTCTTCAATAAAATTCGTAAACTCCTATATTATATCCGTCAATTACATTCCTACCACACACCTCAAGCCCTAATCTGGCAATTTATAATGCCTGCATTCTTCCCCTGATTTTCGACTATTCCTCGGTTATTTTTCCAGCCTTGCTTAAAACATAGTTGTTGATTGTTGAACGTATCCTCCGAATGCTATCTTAAGCTGCCGATGTTTCTTATGCTTTTTAGCTGATATTGTAGTACAGCAAAGATTTTGCGACGTTCAAGAAATTCACTGATTGAATTCTTGATGAGGTTGCTCATGTCTTCCACTCTAGAGTAATGGCTTCGAAGTCCTCCCGAAGTGCACCGAAGTTTCTGACATATGCCCTGACGTACATAAGTATATCAGCATCCCGTACTGCCATTCCTAACACGCTACCTCACGTGTAAAGAAACGGAATTCCAAAAGCCGAGATTGGACCTGCTGTTTTCAATTTGTACCGGGGAAAAACACCTTCAAATTAGCGTATTTTGTTAATTTATCCCGTGTCTCAGTGAATGGAGCCATTTTTACTGACTAATTAAGATGCTACTTTTAAAACAGAGCGTAATGCTCTTTGTCACAACCCCTCCCTCTCTCGCTTTCAAAACCGGTAAGCAGTGGCAACCAACGTACACACAAAGCAAGTACCGTAGTCTTGTTATTGTTTGCCCGGACACGCGTAGCAGTCTGCTGCGAGTAATCGATGGCGAGGGAAATATCGATCAGTCCCGCGGTATCGCAGACCGGAGGTCGAGTCACGCGAGTGGGTGGAGGTTGTCACCAGCACGGCTTGCGACAAAGACTGTATGAGGCGAAAAAACTTAATCTCCCAGCCATCGTATCTGTTTCTTCTCAAAGGCAATATGAATTCACGATAGCGTTGACGACCGTGCGAGCAGGCAGCTACAAGCGTTCCCGGCTCACCAAACGACACAAATTCGGTTTAACATACGTCTAGAATTTAAGCTAGTACCAGTGCGGGGGGAGAGGGTAGATCAGTCGATCTTCGCATACCGCTAGCTGCTTGATGGTCGGTTGTGCATTGCAGTAGTCGCCGGTTATTAAGCCCACCTGGGCCCAGACCAAATGGGCTTATAAGCCGGCGGATTTTGCTATGTAAAATTCCGTCCCAAGCTGACCTCGGGCTTAATACGCGGCTGGGCCTACTAACCGTGGGCTTAATAACCGGCGACTACTCTAATAGCTAAAAGCTCGGACTAATAGGCGGCTGGGCCTATTAACCGTGGGCTTAATAACCGGCGACTACTGTGATAAGCGGCTGGGCCTATTAACCGTGGGCTTAATAACCGGCGACTACTGTATTACGCAGTTATTTGCCCGAAGCCGATGGATTTAAGATCAAATGGTTATACCAACTTCCGGAACTAAAAAAGGTTTATCCCGAAACATTTACTCCAAGTTCGCATATTAGTTGCCCAGGAACTTAAAACGCTTCCCATTTTCATTGTCAGTCGGGACAGGACTGGTGAATTTTCCCGACCTTGCGTTCGCTTTTTCCAGTCCTTCATTTTCAGCAGGAGGGTAATCGGTTTTTTGTAAATTATGGATGGACTAATCTGGAAAATGGGCGCTGGGAAACTCAAAATGATATTTACGGAAAAGTGACGAATCCTTTTTATATTCTAAGCAGATATGGCAGTCACGGCTGATTTCTGATTGACGCAGATTCGCAAGAACATTCTACTGTTACATAGACACGTTAAGCAGCTAGCACGACAAAAAAACCGACGTTCAATCACAAAAAATGCTCTTTATAGCTGATGAATAGTCTGACAGTCTTTCCGCAGTATGATATTTCAAGCGTAACATGGGCTTATTCACAGAACTTATCGGAAGTTTAGATGGATAACGAGAAGTGTCGGAAATCTCAGGTCAACAGTGACCTCCTTAGCTTTTAGGGGCGTAAACCTCGACGAGAAAATAACTAACTAAACATTCAGAAGAAGGAGATGCGACCACTGAAACAAGGATTTTATTGTCCTGACGTTTCAGATTCCGTCGGGAACCCTTAATCATAGGTAATGGTACATTATCCTGAGTCATGCGCAGATAGGAGTGAAACATGCACAGATTGCACGGTATTTATAGTTATTGGTCGCATTTGCTTCTTCTGAACTGCTTCCTGGAACTCGCATATTTACCTATATTGGTAACTGGACATTTTAGTCTTCTTTTCCACAAAATAGATGTTACGAAACTGACGCAAGATATCTGAAGTGAGACCCCCGTAAGCACTCAGAAACGATCTCTACAGTGTGCTAGATGCCTTACCTCCCTATTCGTATACTCGATCGAGAGCAAATAGGATTAGTGCAGAACGATGCAGAATAACTACCTTCAACTGAAAGACTTGCTCTTTGTCTAGCCCCCAGTCCCACAAACACACTTCCGGTCAGAGTAATCTCCGGTATGAATAAAACTTAGGGCCGTCCAATGGTAGTAGGAGTTGCTCTAATAGTGTTCTAAAGGCTACGCTTGTTAACATATAGGGGTTGCTCTTATAGTTTTCTTGCTTTTTAGGTTTCCGTTGCTAACTAATAGGAGGTTTTGTCGATGTTTTTTGTTCTTTTCGTAAACTTTTCACCTACATTTTTAGTTCAGTAAGACAATTACAAACGGTTATATCCTATTTCCTACTGCGCATTTATCACGCATTAACTGCTCGTTAGGCAAGCATTAAACCTTTAATCGCGAATTCCGTCAGACGCTTGGGTTAGGAGACCTTTGCCATTGGGTAGTCCTACGACTTATTCATGCCTAATCTCGTAAACACACCCCTCCCCAAAAGCCAAGTGCTTATGAGCCGAAGCCATGAGACAGGCTCAAAATCCGCCTGAAGACGCTGGTTTAGGGCTCACTAACTATCCTTAATCCTTAAGCGAGTCAGCTATGAACGCTATCGCGAGCCGAAAACTCAAAGAACAAAAAGGCTGAATGAAGTAAAATGTTCTTTTGTGTACTGAACTTGGAATGAGTTTCAGAGGGAGTATTTAAGTCTAATACAGCCACCAGGGACCTGGTGGTAATCAGTGAGGGTCAGTCTACAAAATAGTCAATATGGGGGGGGGAGGACAGACGGATGTCGGGACACAAAATTACGAGACGCAAAATCAATCCAATGGAGTAAAAAAGTCAAAACGTAAGATAAGAGGTAGACAGTAGGTTTGGGAAGGGAAAGTACGTAAGCGTTCTTATCACAGCTTTTTAAAAGACTGCCTCCTGATTGCCATCTGTTTCTACGTGGGTCAAAGTTGCTCGACCGTTTCGCCGTTTGACAATGTGAACAGCTACCAACAGGGAGAGACCG